ACAGATGGTGTGGCATCTAGGAAAGGAAGCCTGGCCAGGAGCAGTGGCTCTCCTCTGTAATCCCAGTGCTTTGGGAGGCTTACGCAGGCAGATCGCTTGAGGTCAGGAGTTCAAGACTAGCCTGGTCAACATGGTACAACCCTGTCTCTACTAAAAATACAAAATATTAGCCAAGAGTGGTGGTGGTGCATGCCTGTAATCCCAGCTACTTGGGAGGCTGAGGCAGGAGAATCACTTGAACCTCGGAGACGGAAGTTGCAGTGAGCTGAGATGGCACCAGTGCACTCCAGCCTGGGTGACAGAGCGAGACTCCGTCTCAAAATAATGATAATAATAATAACAATAATAAAGGAAGCCTGAGAGATGTTTACTCCTGAGAGCTTTCTGAGCCCTAGTTCTTGTGTCCTGGCCACAGCAATTGGTCCAGAAATCAGCAAATGGCTGCATTCAGGTCAACAAGAGAGAGTGAATCCTAGGACTAACGTAAGAGATATCAGAAAATACACTCTTTCTTTTCCTGGATGGTGTGGAATGAAGGTGTGAGATGTACTAAAAAGAGTAAAATCTGGGGGCTGCGCACGGTGCCTCATGCCTGTAATCTGAGCACTTTGGGAGGCCGAGGCAGGTGGATCACTTGAGGTCAGGAGTTCGAGACCAGCCTGGCTAACATGGTGAACCCCCATCTCTACTAAAATTACAAAAAATTAGCTGGGCATGGTGGCACGCACCTGTAGCTGAGATGCCAGAATCGCTTGAACCCAGGAAGAGGAGGTTGCAGTGAACTGAGATTGCACCACTGCACTCCAGCCTAGGCGACAAAGTGAGACTCTGTCTCCAAAAAAAAAGAGTAAAATCTGGAGCAGCCATAAGACCACTGGGTGGACGGTGAAGATGGTGCTAACACTATGGGAGTTAGAATGGAGATGCCAGAGCTAGATGTGGCGGCTCACACTTGTAATTCCACCATCTGGGGAGGCTAAGATGGGTTAGTTACTTGAGGCCAGGAGTTCAAGACCAGCCTGGCCAACATATCAAAACCCCATTTCTACTAAAAATACAAAAAAATTAGCTGGACGTGGTGTCATACATTTGTAGCCCCAGCTACTTGGTAGGCTGAGGCATGAGAATCACCTGAATCCAGGAGGCAGAGGTTGCAGTGAACCGTGTTTATGCCACTGCACTTCAGCCTGAGCGATAGTCTGAGACTGTCTCAAAAAATTTTTAAAAATAAATAAATATATATATATATATAAAGCTCAGAAACTCCTTTTTTTTGTACCCCTGGCCATTGATAAATGCAACTCTCCTTCTGCACAATATTGATCCAAAGATTCAACCTGCAGGATTCAAAAGCGATTTTGGACCTCCAAATGTGATTTGAGGAACACCTCAGCTTGTGGGAGTTGATCAGAAAACTCACTTTATTCTCTTACTGTTGCTAACTTATAAAAAAGCAATGTGAGCTCCATCTTATAGATAAGGTAAATTGAGGCTTATGGTGGTGATTTATCAGCTACAGTGGCAACATAAGAAACAGCAAAGGGAGTGGCTTATGCCTGTAATCCCAGCACTTTGGGAGAGTGAGACAGGAGAATCACTTGTGGCCAGGAGTTTGAGACCAGCCTGGGCGACACAGTGAGACCTCTGTCTCTACACATAATAAAAATATCAGCCAGGAATGGTGGTACACGCCTGTAGTTCTAGTTACTCGGGAGACTGAGGTGGGACAGTCAGCCAAGCCCAGGAGTTCGAGGCTGCAGTGAGCTATAATCACACCGCTACACTCCAGCCTGGGTGAAATAGCAAGACCCTGTGTCTAAGAGAAAAGAAAATTTTAAAAATTTCATTATAAAAAAGAAAAAACAAAGAACTAGCGAAGGCACTCACATTTGATGCTCGGTGAGCTCTTAAATCCTCTTTGTAAATCACATAGTATTTACCTACTTAGACACCTAAAAATAGAACTGGGAGCTCCTCAAAGGCTAAGAGGAGCAGCCCCAAACAGGGGAAAAGGCCAGATTATAATTTTAAAATTACAAACATAGTTTAAATAATCAGGACATGGATTCTAGTGATACAGTGCTGGGACCTCATTAGTAACTGACTTCTAAAGAGGTACTAAAATTGTCCAAAAACGAAGACTGTTCCCTCCACAGTTCCACGCATAGAATCAAAAACCATGAGTAAGTATGCAAATTAGCAGGTGCCCACAGGCCCAGGGTCTAAAGAAAATAAATCAAGCAGCTATCCTAAGATAACTTCCAATAAACTTTGCTTTTCCCTTTATTAGCATTCAGTTCAGTTGAGTTCAACAAGCACTTTTTGAATGCTTGCTGCAGGACGCGCAATGGGCATTGCATTTCCATTTGCATGATGGTCAGCTGTCACCTCATTTTCCCCTTCAAGCTCTTCCGAATAAAATACTGTATTCATTTCCAAAGGCTGCCATAACAAAGTAGCACAAGCTGGGTGGCTTAATAATAGAATTGTATTCTCTCACAGTTCCTGAGGCTGGAAGTCCCAAATCAAGATGTCAGGGGAGGCCCCCTCTGAAAACTCTAGGGAAGGATGGTTCCTTGGCTTTTCCAGCTTCTGGTGGTGCTAAGCTGTTCCTTAACTTGTGTCTGCATCTCTCCAACCTCTCTCTGTGTCTTCACATGATCATCATCTGTGTGTCTCTCTCCTCTCTTTCTAAGATACTGGGCCGGGTGGTTCATATCTGTAATCCCAGCACTTTGGGCGATCGAGGCAGGAGGACCACTTGAGGCCAGGAGTTCAAAACCAGTCTGGGCAACATATTGAGACCCTGCCTCTACAAAGGGGAAAAAAAAAACCCAGGCATGGTGGTACATGCCTATAGTCCCAGCTGCTTAGGAGGCTGAGGCAGGAGGATTGCTTGAGCATGGGAGTTTGAGGCTGCAGTGAGCTATGATCATGTCGCTGCCCTCCAGCCTGGGTGAAAGAGTGAGAGCCTGTCATAATTTCATCTTGAGATCCTTAACTAGTTTCATCTACCAACACCCTATTTCCAAATAAGGTCACATTTTGGAGTTCCAGGTGGACACTATTTAACTCACTACAAATACTGTGTCACGAAAGCATGAGTGAGCAACATCAATTTCACTGAAGCTTTTGAAAGAAAGGAAGAGCAGGTTGAGGTTACTCAACACACCGTAGACACCTTGAAATCCCTGTTGCAGGTTGGGTTCCTGGGAAGCTGACTCTGAGTTGGAGGTGAGCATGCAGGATGTTTATTAGGGAGTACTCTGGAATCCCAGTCCTTGGGAAGTTTGAGAACGTAAGCAGGACTTACAGGAGGAAGTTGAGCAGCCGCACCAAAGACCTTAGCTGACCCCTCTTAGGCAAGGTGGCCCCCGCCAGTAATCCTAGCGTTTTGGGAGGCTGAGGCAGGTGGATGATTTGAGTCCTGGAGTTCAAGACCAGCCTGGATAACATGGAAAGACCCCCATCTATAAAAAGAAAATACAAAAATTAGCTGGGCTTGGTGGCTCATGCCTGTAGTCCTAGTTACTTGGGGCTGATGCAGGAGGATTGCTTGAACCTGGGAGATTTATGTCCCCCATTGATTACTGGTTGTGGGCCTCCCAGGAAGGGGGTGTGACCTTGAGTGAAGCCACTCTCTTTAGCAAAGGCAGTCCCCAGAGGAGGCTGCCAGCCTGCAACACCCCCAGCATCTGGGAAAATGAGTCCTGCTTCCTTGAAGGGTGATCTGGGTAGGACATCACGGTGTCTTCGGCACTTAGTCATTCCTTCTCTTCTTAGTCATTTCGCTCCCACGGTTGTCAGAAGGGAGAGTTGCCTTTTTCTCTTGCTTCTTCACAGTGCTGAGAGACCCTCACATTTCTTGCTCCCACTGAAAGTTTTTCCTCCAAACTTGCAAATGCAAACCCATCTACAAAGAAAAGTCTGCACGCCACCTCTGAGGTTACCTCCGAGGATATCTCCTTAGAAGATATCAAAGGGAGTACTTTCTTATTTATTCATTTTATTTTGAAATGAAGTCTCACTCTTTCTCCTAGGCTGGAGTGCAGCAACCTCCACCTCCCAAGTTCAAGCAATTCCAAAGGGAATAACTAATAGTTTGTTAATGCTGCTTGTTGCATAATTACTGAATTTTGAGTAAGAAGATCCAAATTCAACTGCTAGTGCTACCTTGAGCAAATCACTAGCCTCTAAGAATGGAAGGCAAGAACTTTGTTTTATCACTGATTATGGAGCACCTAGGAGCAGGCTTTAACTAAAGATTCCCCTGGCTGGGCACGGTGGCTCACATCTGTAATCTCAGCACTTTGGAAGTCTAAGGTGGGTGGATCACTTGAGCTCAGGAGTTCGAGACCAGCCTGGCCAACATGGCAAAACCTTGTCTCTACTAAAATTACAAAAATTAGCTGGCCTGGTGGCACAACTGTAGTCCCAGCTACTCGGGAAGCTGAGCCACGAGAATCAGTTGAGCCCAGGAGGGGGAGATTGCAGTGAGCCGAGATCACACCACCGCACTCCAGCCTGAATGACAGAGCGAGACTCCGTCTAAAACATAATAAATAAATAAATATTCCCTGAGCACGTGAAGGAAGGAACAAATTTTGCCTAACCTTTGATTCCCTTGGGATAATACTGAATTGGTGAGGACAGGCTAGGTCGTGATTCCCAAAGTGTTATACTGGCACTAGCAGCAGCAGCACCTGGGAACTTGCTAGAAATGCAATTTATTGGACTCCACCCCAAACCTGCTGAATCAGGAACTATGGAGGAAGGGTTCAGCATTCTGTGTGCTATAGGCTGAAGGTCCACATTTCCCCACAATCCATATGTTGAAACCTAATCCCCAATGTGATGGTATTTGGAGGTGGGGCCTTTGGAGGTGATTATGTCAGGAGGATGGAGCTTTCATGAAGAGACTTTTTGTTTTTTGGAGACAAACTCTACCTCTGTCGCCCCAGGCTGGGGTGCAGTGGTGCGATCTTGGCTCCCTGCAGCCTCTGCCTCCCAGGTTCAAGTAATTCTCCCTCCTCAGCCTCCCAAGTAGCTGGGACTATAGGCACTTGTCACTACACCCTGCTAACTGTTAACTGTTTTGTGTTTTCAGTAGAGACGGGGTTTCACCATGTTGACCAGGCTGGTCTGGAACTCCTGACCTCAAGTGATCTGCCTGCCTCAGCTTACAGGTATGAGCCACTATGCCCAGCCTAGGATTAGTGGCCTTAGAAAAGAGACTCCCTGGTCAGGTGCAGTGGCTCATGCCTGTAATTCCAGCATTTTGGGAGGCTGAGGCAGGAGGATCACTTAGGGTCAGGAGTTCCAGACCAGCCTGGCTAACATGGTGAAACCCCATCTCTACTAAAAATACAAAAATTAGCCGAGGATGGTGGTGGTGCACACCTATAATTCCAGCTACTTGGGAGGCTGACGCAGGAGAATCTTTGAATCTGGGAGGCGGAGGTTTCAGGGAACCAAGATCCCGCCACTGCACTCCAGCCTGGGTGACAGAGAGAGACCTCATCTCAAAAAAAAAAAAAAAGTGGGGGGAAGGAAAGAAAAGAAACCCCACAGAGCTCCCTTGCCCCTTCCACCACACGAGGATGCAATGAGAAGACAGCTGTCTAAGAACCAGGAAGTCTTGTTCACCACCTATGGAATGTCATCTTCCTGAGCCAGGAGTGGTGGCTCATGCCTGTAATCCCAGCACTTTGGGAGGCCGAGGCTGGTGGATCACGAGGTCAAGAGATCAAGACCATCCTGGCCAACATGGTAAAACCCCGTCTCTACTAAAAATACAAAAATTAGCTGGGTGTAGTGGCGTGCGCCTGTAATCCCAGATAGTTAGGAGGCTGAGGCAGGAGAATTGCTTGAACCTGGGAGGTGGAGGTTGCAGTGAGCTGAGATCATGCCACGGCACTCCAGCCTGGCAACGGAGCAAGACTCCATCTCAAAAAAAAAGAAAAAAAAATGTCATCTTCCTAAGAGGAGGGACCTTATATGTCTCCTTTACCACTGGAACCTAATCCCCTAGAACAATGCCAAAAGCCTACATCTGCACCCTATAAATGTATATTGAAGGAAGTGCTCAGGGTTCTGCTTCTCTTTTGAGATATTGACACTGTGCTCTGTGGGAAGAAAATATCTTCTTTATAAACTAGAGATAACAATTTCTGCAGCAGCCACATTTTCCACATTAAATCAATAGATCCAGAAATGCAGTGCATCTGGCAGCCATGTGGCGAGGAAGTGCCATTTTTAACAAAGGACTTACAGGGTCACTGTTTCAGTTGATATACTTTGCAACTTCACTGCAGGTGCCTAGCAAAACATTGTACAAACGGCCAAATTATTTTTGCACATTACTACACTAGAACTGTGCTCAATGGCCTCGTAGTCATGTGTAGATGTGCTTTCAGGAAGAAAATAACATTTACTGTAGGTTTTTAGAATTTCTAATTTCAGAAGAATCACAAGCGCATTGCAGAAAATTTGGGAAATAGAGACAAACGCAAAAGAAAACACCAATCTTCCAAACAGTGAAATACTTTCATGCATGTACTTTCTAGTCTATTTCTATGAATGCCTTAAAAATGACTTTGTATCATATAAAATGTTTCAGAGTGGAATTTTTCACTTAGTAGCATATCATGGATATTATTATTTATTTAATATTGCTCTATAAGATGTTTATATATTGTAACTAGTTAAATAATTTTAAATTATATAAAAATATCATGATAAAAAACATTAATAACAGGAGAGCATGAAGAAAAAAGAAAAAACTTTTTTTTTTAAGACAGAGTTTTGCTCTTGTTGCCCAGGTTGGAGTGCAGTGGCACAATCTTAGCTCACTGCAACCTCTGCTTTCTGGTTTCAAGCAATTCTCCTGCCTCAGCCTCCCGAGTAGCTGGGACTATAGGCGAGTGCGACCACGTCCAGCTAATTTTTGTATTTTTAGTAGATATGGGGTTTCACCATATTGGCCAGGCTGGTCTCGAACTTCTGACCTTGTAATCCACCCGCCTCAGCCTCCCAAAGTGCTGGGATTACAGGCATGAGCCACTGCCCCCTGCTAGGAAGAAAAAAAACTTCTTGACACTTCTATCACTAAAGGTTTCTTACATTGTATATCTTTCCAGAATATTCTAGGCTTTTGTATACACAAAGGAAATCACACGATAGTATTGTTCAACTTATTTAATGTAATAACACATCTTAAATATCTTTATATGGCTGTATGGTGTTCTTGTTATGTAAGTATGCAATATATTTTTTAATTTTTATTATTATTGTTTATAAATAGAGACAGGGTCTTGCTCTGTTGCCTAGTCTGGACTTGAACTCCTGAGCTCAAGTGATCCTCCTGCCTCAGCCTTCCAAAGTGCTGGGGTTACAGGATATGAACCACCGTGCCTGGAAACTTGATGAAAAATTCATATTTCTTAATTCTTTGATATTACATACAGTGAGGAAATGTTTGCACTCTCGCTCTGTCTCTATATATACACACATATATTAAACATATATATATAACTTGTAAAGTGCTTAGAACAGTGCCCACACATAGTAATGTTCCGTGTGTGTGTTTCTTCATCTATATTTATAGGTGATATATATATATGGAGATGATCAATTTGGCAATATCAGCTGAGCGAGGTGGTTCATGCCTGTAATCCCAGCACTTTGGGAGGCTGAGGCAGGCACTGAGGTCAGGAGTTCGAGACCAGCCTGGCCAACATGGCAAAACTCTGTGTCTACTAAAAATACAAAAATTAGCTGGGCATGGTGAACACCTGTGGTGCCAGCTACTGAGGAGGCTGAGGCAGGAGAATTGCTTGAACCCAGGAGGTAAAGGTTTCAGTGAGCTGAGATCGCACCACTGCACTGCAGCCTCAGTGACAGAGTGAGACTCCATCTCAAAAAAAAAAAAAAAAAAAAAAAGGCCAGGCACGGTGGCTCACACACTTTGGGAGGTCAAGGCAGGTGGATTATCTGAGGTCAGGAGTTAAAACCAGCCTGGTCAACATGGTGAAAACTCCGTCTCTACTAAAAATACAAAAATTAGCCAGGCGTGGTGGCACATGCCTATAATCCCAGCTACTCGGGAGGCTGAGGCAGGAGAATTGCTTGACCCCAGGGGACAGAGGTTGCAGTGAGCTGAGATCATGCCACTGCACTCCAGCCTGGCCGACAGAGTGTGACAATGTCTCAAAAAAAAAAAAAACACTGGCAATATCCACCAAAATTTAAACTGCATATTTCCTTTTACTTAATTATGTATACTTTGCAAATCTGTAAATTTTTTAGGTACAAAATTAATAAGTTGATAAAATACAAAAGTAATAATATATTTTTAATTTTGTTAGATACTGTCAAATTGCCCTCCAAAAGTAGGTGCCAGCTTTCACTTTCACCAAGAATATGACAGTGCCTATTTCTCTACTGTTCTGCCAACACTGGGTAGTATAAATTTTTTTAAATATTCATTAATCTGAAAGGTAAAATGTTGTATTCCATGGTATCTCCCTAGTTACTTTTTTTCAGCCATCAGGCCCAGCCTGCATCTCCCTAATTGTTAGTGAGCTTGATTATGTTTTTATTTTATTTTATTTTTATTTTTTGGAGACAGAGTCTTACTCTGTCATCCAGGCTGGAGTGCAATAGCGCGATCTCGGGTCACTGCAACCTCTGCCTCTCCAGTTCAAACGACTCTCCTGCCCCAGCCTCCTGAGTAGCTGAGATTACAGGCGCCTGCCACCACACCCAGTTAATTTTTATATTTTTAGTAGAGACAGGGTTTCTCCATGTTGGCCAGGCTGGTCTTGAACTCCTGGCCTCAAGTGACCCTCCCACCTTGGTCTCCCAAAGTGCTGGGATTACAGGCATGAGCCACTGAGTCTGGCCTCCAAGTTCTACCTCTGATGGTGAGAATTTAACCTATTCCCATTAAATTGGGTCTATGTTAACAAAGTGGGCAACAAACAAGTAATGAATTTGCCTATGAGTTCAGCTTGTATAAATGTTGAAAGGGAGCAAGGATAACAGGTGAAAGCAAGAGACTATGTCACCCAAAATACTTATCCTAAATGCCCAGCTGCCTAGAATGTTATCAGCACACCATTTCATGTTGTGTAACCTAACGTCAGACGCCATCCTTCACTATGGCACTTGCAGTCTTGAGCAGCTCCCTTAAGTTTCTGTACCTTGTTTTTCTTTCATGAACTGGGGAGAAGAAGAGGTGTATTATTTCACAAGGGGGCTGTGCAAAGCAGTCCATGCACACAGGCCCCGCAGAAAGGCTCAGAGCCATCTGCCGTCCTGATTAACATGAAGCCACTGAATGTTAAGTCACAGACTCCAGTTCTGTCAACACTCAAGACACTCTCGAGACCTTAATAATTATCATACCTAGCACAGAATAGAAATGCGTGACTTGACTGGCTATACAGTTTCCTACTGATGGCAGTAAAAATAAGAATGAGTTCTCCTCCTTCCCAATAAAAAAGCGACATACGAGATCAGATTCCAGACAGAAAATTGCCTATTAACTCCAGTAAACATTCTACTCCATTCTTCAGGGGCTGTTTCACCAGTTTAAGAATTTCTTAAACCAGTAGTTCTCAAACCTGACTGCAAACCAGAACCACCTAAGGAGGTTTTTAAAAATGTAGATGCTAGCTGGGCACGGTGGCTCACGCCTGTAATCCCAGCACTTTGGGAGGCCGAGGCGGGCAGATCACAAGGTCAAGAGATCGAGACCATCCTGGCCAACATGGTGAAACCCCGTCTTTACTAAAAATACAAAAAAAAATAGCTGGGCGTGGTGGCACGCACCTGTAGACCCAGCTACTCAGGAAGCTGAGGCAGGAGAATTGCTTGAACCTGGGAGGCAGAAGTTGCAGTGAGCCAAGATCGTGCCACTGCACTCCAGCCTGGCGCCTGGCGACACAGCAAGACTCTGTCTTAAAAATAAATAAATAAATAAAAATACAAAAATTAGCTGGACATGGTGGCACACCTGTAATCCCAGCTACTCAGGAGGATAATGCAGGAGAATCTCTTGAACCCAGGAAGCAGAGGTTACAGTGAGCCGAGATCATGCCATTGCACTCCAGTCTGGGCAACAAGAGCAAAACTCCATCTCAAATTAACAAACAAAATATATAGATGTCAGCTGGGCACCGTGGCTCCCCCCTACAATCCCAGCACTTTGGGAGGCTGAAGCAGGTATATCACCTGAGCTCAGGAGTTTGGGACCAGCCTGGGCAACATGGTGAAACTCCATCTCTACCAAAAATCCAACACAGGCGCACACCTGTGATCCCAGCTACTTGGGAGGCTGAGGTGGGAGGATCACTTGAGGCTGGGAGGCAGAGGTTGCAGTAGGAGGCTGCAGGCAGTGAGCCAAGATCATGCGACTGCATTCCAACCTGGGTGACAAATTGAGACCATGTCTGAAAAATAACAAGTAAATGCCTAAGCTACACACGCAAGGATTCTAGTTTAAGTGGTTTGAATAGGGTCTAGGAATCTGGTTTTTGTTTTTCTTTTTAACTCTCTATGTAGTTCTAATGTGCAACAAAGTCTGAAAACCTCAATGTGCATTCAAATAATCTAGAGAAATTTTAATGCAAGGTCCTGGTTCCCACCCAGAGAGTCGAATTTGGTGGGTTTGGGGCAGGAGCCCTGGAATACACATTTTAAACAACCAATCTAAATAACTCTCATGCCCGCTTCTCCTGTTATTTTAAGGTCTTTTTTTTTAACCTACCAAGTCGTAGTTGCAACAGAGAGGAAAAGGAGTTGGCATTTGAATCCGTTAGCTCTGCAGACATGCCAAAACACACTGAGGGAGCTAGGTGAAGCTACTGGCTATAAAGAGCTGTGGGACGATTGCACTTATCCGTGCTCTCAACCCACCAGGACAGACACACAAATAGACACACATACATGCTTCTATATGAATGGCTACATTCAACCAGTTTGTCTGCACTGATGATTGTTAAAACGCTGAAATACCTCCATATCGGCTAATAAATAGCTGCTACTTGCAAGACCTTATTCTTCCGTATCCACCTGCATGCTAGGACTACTCATCCCTTCATGGAGGAACTCTCGCCGCAAACCAGGCACAAGAGCATCTCAATCTTCTGAGTTCTCTCGGGTCTAGTAATTGAGCCATAGTGTTGTTAAATATTTTAAACAGCACTTGAAGCTGGGCATGGCGGCTCATGCCTGTAATTCCAGTACTTTAGGAAGCTGAGGCAGGCAGATCACTTGTGGCCAGGAGCTCGAGACCAGCCTGGGCAACATGGAGAAACTCTGTCTCTACTAAAAATACAAGAATTAGCCAGGCGTGGTGGCACATGCCTGTAGTCCCAGCTATTTGGGAGGCTGATGCAGGAGAATTGCTTGAACTCAGGAGGTGAAGGTTTCAGTGACCCAAGATCATTGCATTCCAGCCTGGGTGGCAGAGTGAGACCCCCGTCTCCAAATAAATAAATATCCCTTGGCCAGGTGTGATGGCTCATGCCTGCAATCCTAGTACTTAAGGAGGCTGAGGTGGGAGGATAGCTTGATCCCAGGATTTCAAGACCAGCCTGGGCAACAAAGTGAGACCCCGTCTCTACAAAAAAAATTTTATAACATTTGCTGGGAGTGGTGGCACATACCTGTAGACCCAGCCACTCAAAAGACTGACACAGGAGGATCTCTTGAACCCAGGAACTTGAGGCTTCAGTGAGTCATGATCATGCCACTGCACTCCAGCCTGGGCGACAGAGTGAGATTTCATCTCAAAAAAAAAAGAAAAAGAAAAAATATCCCACCCACTGCTCACTGTAATAAATTTTTCATGCTGGATGTTTGTACACAGCAGTATGAAAGTGTAGAGAAGAGAATGATTAATTCTACCTGGAGGGGTCAAAGAAGAATTTAAAAAATAAGTGGCCTTAAAGTAAATCCCAAAAGATAAGGAGCTCTGCTTAGGTAGGAAAAACAATGACTGTTTAGAAGTGGAGAAGGAGAGAAGATAGAGAGAGGTAAAGAGTAGGGACGAGGGGGTGGGTGGCATGACATCATTACAGTGTGGGACAAGAAAAAGACCTGGTGGATTAAAGCCAGGTCTGAAAGAAAATTGAATGTCGTGTTATATTTAGCCAGTATTACACTGTTTCTCCAAGAATGGTCCAAGAATGACCTAACAAAGAATTACCTGAGTGCTGGCTTAAAAGGCAGATTCCAGCTGGGCACGGTGGCTCATGCCTGTAATCCCAGCACTTTGGAAGGCTGAGGCGGGTGGATCACAAGGTCAGGAGAACAAGACCATCCTGGCTAACATGGAGACACCCTGTCTGTACTAAAAATACAAAAAAATTTAGCCAGGCTTGGTGGCGCACACCTGTAGTCCCATCTTCTCAGGAGGCTGAGGCGGAGAATTGCCTGAACCCAGGAGGCAGAGGTTGCAGTGAGCTGAGATCGTACCAGTGCACTCCAGCGTGGGCAACAGAGCAAGACTCTGTTCTTAAAAAAAAAAAAAAAAAAAAAGGCAGATTCCAGGTTAGGCCTGATGGCTCACATCTGTAACTCCAGCACTTCGGGAATTACTTGAGCACGGGAGTTCGAGACCAGCCGGGGCAACATAGTTAGACCTCATCTCTACTAAAAATAAAAAATTAGCCAGGAGTGGTGCCTGCCTGTGATTTCAGCTACTCAGGAGGCTGAAGCAGGAGAAGTGCCTGAGCTCTGGAGTTCAAGGTTACATTGAGCCACGATTGCACCACTGCACTTTAGCCTGGGTGAGAGTGAGATCCTCTCTCTCTCTCAAAAAAAAGGCAGATTCCAGATCTCTCCATCTGGTAGCAAATGAGGAAAGCTCATCTCTGCGGTGGGACCAAGAAATCTGTACTCTTTTTTTCTTTTGAGACAGGGTCTCACTCTGCTGCCCAGGCTAGAGTGCAGTGGCAAGATCACAGCTCACTGCAACCTCAACCTCCTGGGCTCAAGCAATCCTCCCACCTCAGCATCCCAAGGAGCTGGGACTACAGGCATGCACCACAATACCTGGCTAATTTTTGTGTTTTTTGTGAAGACAAGATCTCATTATGTTGCCAAGGCTGGTCTCAAATTCCTAGGCTCAAGTGACCCGCCCACCCTGGCCTCTTGAAGTGCTGGGATTACAGGCGTGAGTCACTATGTCTGGCACAAAATGTTTTGCTTCTCAAAGCAGAAGAAAGCAAATAAATAGAAGAAGAATGAATCCAGTTTGGATTACAATGCAGTCATATAATTTTTTTAAATGTTTTTTTGAGATGGACTCTGTCGCCCAGGCTGGAGTGCAGTGGCGCAATCTTGGCTCACTGAAGCCTCTACCTCCTGGGTTCAAACGATTCTCCTGCCTCAACTTCCTGAGTAGCTGGGACTACAGGTGCCTGCCACCACACCCAGCTAATGTTTGTATTTTTAGTAGAGACGGGGTTTCACCATGTTGGCCAGGCTGGTCTCAAACTCCTGGTCTCAAGTGATCTGCCTGCCTCAGCCTTCCAAAGTGCTGGGATTATAGGCATGAGCCACTGCACCTGGCTTATTTATTTATTTTTATTTAAAACAGGAGAGAAAGAGTCTCACTATGTTGCTCAGGCTGGTCTTGAACTCCTGGGCTCAAGTGATCCTCCTGCCTTGGCCTCTCAAAGTACCAGGATTACAAGCGTGAGTCACCTCGTCTGGCCAAAATGCAATTTTTAGTATCTTCTGGGGAAGAGGGGATCACAGAGGCAACAAAAGTGCCTGAGGCCCGCAAAAGTCATAATGTTGCCCTGAGTCCACCAAAGGAGAGAAGAATCAAAGCATAGCTC